TTTTTCATTCAAAGTGCCAGCAAGTGGTTTGAATAAACTAATTTGCATTTCGAATTCAATCATCACGAATCACGGGCTCTTAGCCAATTTATTTGTTCATTGGTTGGGCTCACACGTGTCGCTGCGGTAATTATTTGCTTTATTTCAAGTGAAAGGTCAAGCCTTTTTTTTCTATAATTTGATTTTTGTAAACCAAATTACGAAATTACATATTTTTCTTGGAGTGGTCAAATGTTGGATATTGCGTGCATGACCAAATGAGAAATTGTAAACGTCCAAGTTCAAGTTTAGAGAGAGAGAAAATCGATCAATATGAAACATTGCCCACCTCGTCAAACAACCAATAAACAAATGAACATATGTTTTCGAATTGATGTCAATCGCTTACAGCTCATTTGTATCAACTGATTCGCTCAATTTCACTGTATGAATGTTGTTGTTTTTTTTTCACGAATGAGTATCCAACTTAATATCTTCATTGAAAAACCTTAATTCGGTCACAACACATCTCTCACTCTCTCGCTTTCGCTCTCGCTCACTCACTCTCTCCGTATATGTTATGCAAAGATCTTATTATACGGAGGAATTGATGTGCAGTCATGGATAAACGGAATTGGAATCCAAACATCAAAAGTCTCTTGAACAGTCAATTTCAATCGATAATCGCTAATTCTCTTTTCTCTGTCCATTGTTTGAACGGGTGAATCAATCACGAATTGGTTCGGGTTGTGAATTTCATTGAATTGGAAATATTGTTTACGCGCACCGTTAGAGTATCATTCATATTTTAAAAATCTCATTAAAATCGTTCGGCAGAGTGGTTTGCGTGGGAAGCCGATTTATGAATTTTGTTGTGATTGGCAAAACAACAACACACAAACACACTGAAAAAAATCAGCGAAACAAGCAAAGAAATATGACAGAAGAAATGTTGGCATTGTTCCGCCGTCGTACGCACGTCTGAACCACAAAATTGATTCCAATCAAAATATTTTATCGATGACTATCGATTAAATCCATCATCGTGAATCCACTCATAAACGCTTTTATTGTCGAATCGCAATAAAACCTGCCTTTCATCGGGCTCTTTCTGAGAATTTATTATGGACAATTTATGAACACTTAAAACTTTAATGATACTTTCAATTAAAAAATTTGAAAAATTCAAATTTATGTCGTATTCGATGTTCGATCGATGCAACGGATGTCAATGAACGCACTTGCATAAACAAGTTTTTTTTTCTTCAATCAAACATAAATACAAACTCGGCTATAAAATTTCATTCATATTCGGTACATCCGAGGGAAGTATGTTGGTTGGTGCGTTGTTATTATTATTTGTCTGCAATTGGAATGGTGTACTTGAGTTTTTTTTGGTTCAAGTTGATATACAGTTCGTCATTTAGTAGGAGCGACAAATCCCATTTTCAATCGAACACTTTGCACTCATCGAGTGTTTATGTCAGCAACGGCTTAATAAACAATGCGCGCTTTATAGAAGCGTCGCTTGCCGAATTTCCGAATATGTTGGGTGCGCGTAAACGAAAAAACACCACGTCGAAAGTGTAGTGGGTTTTTTAAGTTCCATTATTGAATTGTTTCTTTGCTTCACTATTTGCTCACGCAAGCCACTATTTTCGTTTCACGAATCGCACACAAAATATACTATAGACAACGCAATTGAAACAAACACATGGCAAATAGAGACAGAGGCAGCGGCAAAGAGAGAGAGAGAGAGAGAAATAAATATAAGCCAAAGAAACCTCGTGTTTTGCAATCAAAAAAGGTTTGTGGCGTTCTTTGCTCATAAATTCATTGAGCTCTCCGTGTGTTTACGTTGTTATTTGGTCGGTTGCGAACGGAGCGAATGGTCTGCGTCTTGCTACTTCGACTCAAAGCATATGCCTTAACATTTTTAGTTTGGAAGACGTGAGTCAGTCATTGATTCCAACTCGTCGGAAACACAACTAAACTATCGATACGAGCAAAAAAAAATTGTTTTTCTCTTTTCAATTTGTCTATAACTGAAGGTGTGATTCTGTTGTTTATAGTTTTTTTTTCTTGGTTAGACATAACGAAAAGAAAAAATCTCCTCTGTGTGATTTTCAATTAACAAGAATATTCATGAGACGATCATCGTTTCGATAAAAAAATTTAAATGATTGATGGTTTTATGGAAAATTTTTATTGAAACCCGCAGCATCGGGGGAAAAAATTAACATTTCGGAACTTTTTTCCCAATCGGTCTAATTGAAGTTCGTAACCAAAAGTACAGTGTGTAAAATAAACGGTGTGTGTTATGAATGGAAGAGGCAAATCGGATAGAGTGAAAGTGTTATTTTTAGTTTGTAATGTTTTCTGCATTCTAATCAATTTTGGATGCGTGTAACATTTTCAAAATCAATAACTTCTTTCAGCTACGCTCTCTTCTTCCAACGGAACCTATCAACCGATTTGATTTTTATTTCTCTGCGCGGAATACACTTGAGTTGCGTGTCGTTGCTTGGAACACACATATGCGAAATTGCAGAGCAGTGAAATCTGGTTCAATTGCAATAAAGAAAGAAAGAAAAAAAAAGCGAAAACTCCAAAGAAAATACACACGTTGAACCAACAGTGTTGTGGTACCATGCGTTTTTAAAAGAAAGACTGACAAAAGTCTGCCGGCCGCACATTTAGCGCTTCGGTATATTCCAACGAAGTGTGTATGCACAAACATACACGATTTCCAATTACCCGTCGTCGCGATTATTTAAAGGTACCTGTTTTTTATATCTCTGTTTTATTTCGCACTCACATTATGCACTGACGGTGTTTGTTGTGCAATTTAAACGGAACGCAAATAGCCTGACTTTAAATGCTAGGCTAGATTCATGGCGAGCGATAACCTTTGGTAATAATTCGCCGTTGATTGTCATCGATATTAATTCATAAACGGCTTATTACATCAATACTAATTATGCGTTGCTATGCAAATCAATCCAATGTTTCATACGAAAAACAAAAATGAACACACACACACACACACGGGCCGGGCCATACGTATACGTTGAGAGGCCTCCGATTGCCGTAAAAGGGTTTGCTGAATGTGAATTCATTACATTGTTGGCGCTTGGCTACTCATTATGGTCATCTTGATTTGTGAGAACTCAACGAGAGAGAGAGAGAGAGAGAGAGAGAGAGAGAGAGAGAGAGAGAGAG